TGCAGGATTATCGCACGGCTGTTTGTATTTGACGTTTAGCCGCCATATCCTATGACTCAATTATCAAGTGGCCCTGTCACACGGGCTCTCGGAGAGTTATATTCGGCAACACAACTCAGAGCTTCCAATGAACGGCGAGGTCAAAACATCCAGCAGTGATGAGGAAAAACTTTCAGCACCGCCTCAGACAATGATTTCAATTGTCATTGCAGCTCACCTAATGTGCGCCACCCCCCAATCCCATTATCTGAGCCTGGAGGAATCTGAGGTGCACAGCTGAACTCATTATCTGGTGATGATGCTAAACGCATGCATCTCGTGTGTCATATATTAGAGCTGACCTGTTTTCCAAAACAATTTGAAAACAAAACAATGAATTTGAATCGATACCTTAGGCTTTCGCAGATATATCTTTTTTAAATATTGTGGTCGTTTTAGTGTTCCTCATTTACCTTTTCTTGAAGTCAATTCAACTTAACGTTGTGTTTGACAAGAGAGGACTTTACTTTTAAATAGCATTATATAATTATATGTTGCATGTTTTGTGTGAGGCCTGTCTATCCAGGAGGGGCATTTAGCTTGATTGCTAACACCAAAAAAATGTATCATGTGAAAGCAGTACCTCCTCTTGAGTGACCAACACATGCCCACACACAAAGACATGAGTCGTCAAGTCCATTCCAAAACCTGAACCTTCTCAAACTGAACATATTCCACTTTTTGGATATTTTGAACTCAGTTTGTCCATCCAGCAGCTGTCTCACTTTCTTGCTAACAGCAAAACAACATGAACAACTGTTTGCTATTAGCCTGAGGGGACTGAGAAGCTCCAGAGAAAGTGAGGCTCAGGTAACATACAGTTACATAACATAGTGCTTTAACAACAACAAGGAAAAGTCAGCCATGATATGACACGTCGTTTTTGACCTTCCGTTTGTTTTCTATTAAGCTGCAGTGCATATTCATGAGACTGAAACTTCGATATTTGCATTAGTTCTTACCTTATTATTCAACACTTCCTATAACTAAAGTAAACTCTGAGTTGCATCTCTATGTGAATATTCATGTGAGTGTTTTTCCCTCTCGAGGGCCCAATGAGCTTCACCTGCCCCAGGACTCGTGCCCAAAGCCCTGACTGTGAAGATGCATCAGCCTGGCTGGGGTGTCAGCCTCCTGACATTCTTGTCACAGCGGCTCCAGAAGCCTGGTACACACGTTAGGAACAGCGTGATGCGGCATCACAGTGTGTGTAACAGCGTTTCTGCTGGCTGCGGCTCAGGACACTCTCACTCTCACACTGAGATCTGGCCACTGTCATGTCCAGCAACTGACAGGAGTTTTTACACAGGGAGGGGCATGTTATTGTCCTGCCTTGATCTGATGAAGAGTCTCTTTAGGACAGTTTCTTTCTCCTGTCAGAGTTAGCCCTCCAACATGACAGTGACACAAAAATCCACTAAGGCTCGATTTACACACACAAATGCATGAAGACAGTTGGAGTTCCATGTGTAATTGTCATGACAGTGTAATGTCATTCTTGGGTGACTGCTGCGTGTATACGTTACATACATTTCCTTTTATGCTGCACTTGTTTGAAATGGACTTCAAATAGCTGGGTTGAGGAATGTGTAGAATCCCAGGCTGCTGCCCGGTGTGGATTCTGTTTATGGAAGAGAATCAGGCAGCAGTTGGGGAGGTGGTTGGTGCCACGGGGGGGGGGTCTCTCTTCAATTAGGGGGATAAGCCACTGCTCCGGAGAAGCCCTTTCGAGCCATGTTTGGAGCTGTTCACTCACAGGGCTGGAGAAGCTTCTCCAGCCCTGCCATTTGTTGACAAAGCAGAAGTCAAATAGCGTTATGTAACGGCAGTTTCTCCCGGGGCCATAGTCCAGCTGAGCATGAGCACAGACCCCCTGCGTGACAGACATCACAGTCAACTTGGTGCCACCGAAACCTTTGTTTGGAGTCAGATGGGACAGAGCTGCTGTATTTGGTCAAACATCATAGTCATGTTACATACAGTACATGCTGCGTGAATAAATACTTTGGCTGTGTTATGACTTTAAACTCCACCGTCTACAGCTGAACTTCAGGCCAATTCTGCTTCCAAATTCTGTAAAGACTAAATTAATACGTGAATGACAATCAAATCAAAACACCTTCAGAATGATAAAGAAAACAGTGTCAATGATAAAGGACAGAATCACAGTAAAATATTGGGAAATTTCTATTTTGTTTTGTGCTAACATCGTTATTTCTAAGCCAAATTAGCCATCCAGTACAACATTTCATTTGTATAAAAATACATAGTTATTTACATATGAACTAAAAACATGTTATACATGTCATAACTAATGTAATACTGTATATATCTCAAACCTATGGCTGCTGTGAGTTTATATTTGACAGGAGTTCAAAAAGTCCTCTTTCAGTAAAGTTTTATGTAAAGGTTCTGTCCCTCCCAAATTCCAGAACTTTGTGTATTCCGTACATGTAATGGCATGTTAAGATGGCGTCATTGTGTTGGAATTAAAAACTTACTGGACAGCTGAGTCATTCAGTAGCAGATTCCAGCCCCCCCAGTGCTTTTCCTCCCCCGACCCCACTGCAGTATTTCAAAGAGGGAGAAAGGTTTTTTATATGGATGTCTGCACAGTTGTTGAGTGGGTGTCACATTCCCAGGTGGCATGTGGTGACATATCCATCTGGGCACGCCTGTTGTCAAAAACAAACAGACCCCCTACATAGCGAGGGTCAAGGTCAAAGCTAGGCCCGTCCCTCCCAGAGGACACCCTCAAATCTCAGCCAGGAGTCTCAGGGGACATCAGAGGAACCTGGATTCAGGACTCACTGTCCACCTCATCAACTAGGTAACGCATTTTCCTAGATCCACTCTTGTGCTCGCAGACAATCATGGCCTTTGGGGAGTTGCCTGTTTTGGAAAGGTATTTTAGTAACCATCTGAGATAATTGAACTGAACATTTGTGTGTGTGAATGTCACAGCAAAATGAGAGCTGCTGTTGGGATGAATCATCTGGTCTGTGCTGCGTAGTTCTTCCTGTAGAGAGTCTGACAACAGTGTTTCACAGACCGTGGTTTACGCTGACTTTTACTGATGATATACTGTAGTTGCTGCACAAATAACAACTGTTAACTGTGTGAAAAATCCTGTGCATTTATGAATGATACAACATCAACTTGAGGAAAATTCTCCTACTCTAAAAAAGCATTAAAAAAAAACCTACTTTTTTCCCTTTTTTAAATGTGAGTTTAATAACTAAATACTATTTAGTGACATGAAATGAAACAGGTTCACTGTCTGTATATCTGCTTGAGACATACGTGATAGATTTAGGTACATTTTTCTTTCACATGACTTCCTCTGATACTGACTATTTTGATGTAGCTGTTTGTCTTGGCTTACGCAGCTCACTCACTGCTCTTTACCTCTCCACCGTTTCCACATAGATCTTGTTTTCTGCCGTGCTCTGCATCGAGGCATCGCTTCCTAAAAAGGCCAGCGGTGATCTTGGCACTGCAGTGTTTATACAGCAAAGTGAACAGTGCAACCTGTCATCGTCCTGTTATCTCTCATAAGCGAGCACTCATATACTGCCCCCCTCCCCCCATCTCCTTTTGGTAGTGTATATTCATAAGACAAGGTTCAGCTGAGGACACACTGCAAGTGTAAGCACTGTCCAGAGGAATGTCCTTTAATGGTTTTGAAATAAGATCATGAATTGACTGTGTCCCAGGGGCTCAGGAAGCAAGCGGATGTTAGTAAAGAGATGGAGCAGAATAATACACTGAGTGTGTGATGCTGTGGGACGTCTCGGCTCCCGGCGTTGTAGACTTTTTAAAAGTTTGCTCCATGTCCCCGTGGGACTCATTTTGGATTGGCTCCCATTTTCCCTCATCCATTTAGGCCTGTTTGTGGACGTTTCCAGCTGGAACATCAGTCCCCTGCGTCTTCTGCACATTATTTACTGCCGTGGATAAACAGTGCTCACACAGAGCTCCTCACCGAGTCTGATCAGCACAACTGATTCAAACTGAGTTCAGATGGATTTCCGTCACTGTCGCCCACAGCCTGTAAATAAAAAAGCACAACATACGCGTACTGTATGAGTCGCTCTGTCAGTGTGTGTGTGTGTGTGTCAGTGAATGTGTGTTAGTGCTTTGACTCAATCGTCCCCTTGCTCTGCATTCAAAATGCGTGATGTCTCCTAAATTAGCTGTGCAGAAAACAATGGGAGGCACAGTGGGGCAGTGGGAAGTGTTCTGCAGTGTCTTTTCTGTTGGCTTGGTGTTATCTCCGCATGCTCCACCGATTCAGCGTCACATTAACATGCCCTGGGCTTTTTCTCTGTGCGGACCCCTCCCACCATCCCTCAGTCCCTCCCTCCTGTCATTAGGGAGGAACACAGATGAAGCTTAGAACTCATTTACAGGCCAGTGCTGGACATACTGCTAACAGAGAAGTGACCACATCTGCAAAAAGTCTTTTTTCAGAAGAATCTTAAAGTTAACTTTGAATTACCAAAAAATTAGATGACATGTAAGAAGAATTGATCTTAAAGAATGCCAGAATTGGCTAAAATATAGACTAAATTACAGCAGCAGCTATGAGCAGTCAAGGCTAACATAAACATAGTCTAGAAATAGCTTAGCCTAAACCTACACCTGTAAAAGTTAATGCTCATAAGTATTCTAGAAAAATGTAAAGGTTAGTTTAAATCCAGCTAAATGTTTATTAAATATGTAAATTAAGTAAACTAAACAGGGTGTATTCATAAATAAAAAATAGCTTAAAATGACAGAGAAAACATACCTCACCTAAAAGTAAACCAGAATAGTCACACATTTTATACTGCAGCAGATACTTGTGAAGATACCTCAACGTTAGCCCAAAAGTACTAAAATATAGTCACAATTATGATTTTTTTTTTTTCCGTGCAGTTGTTATTAAACTCAGCTTGCTGCTTGTGTTTTTTCTTCAGGGCTCTCCAGCAGAGGGCAGTGTAATACCAAAAGCATCTCCTCGTAAGTCCTCTATTTGATTTGGTCAAAAAATGATACTGTCGCTGTTTTTATGCAATTTAGAATTTACATAGTTGAAAGTGCATTTGTAAAAAAAATGTGTTTAATAATAAACCATTTGATTTGATATGAATGGACACGACTTTAACCTTAAAGTAAAGTCGCACTTTCACATATTTCTCTCTGTCTCCATTCAGCTGGCTCTGGCCCTCGAGCAGCCTGCGCTGTCAGGATCACACCGTTGAAAACCATGAAAGGCTCTCCTGACCTGATTCCTGACGCAGGTGACGTTTCCCTTCCCATTCATATTTAATCACCTGTACTGTGGGTCACCTCATACTCTGTGGGAAATCCTAGAAGGATGCATTTACTACTCATTTGTCCACATTGCGGTGTCACCGTAACATCCAATGTTAAAAAAAAAAGAAAAGAAATTGGGGTCAAACTTCAGATGCTCTACTTCCAGCTCTGACACTGTGGTAACAACAATTAGTTTCACAGTGTTGACAGCATGCTTTCTGGGTTATATTTCTATTTTGGGCTTTCAGAGCACGAGGCAGTGATAACTTGAATTCCCTGCAGCTCCTCTGAAGCAGGAGAACACTCCGATAATTAAGATTTTACGGTAGATGTATAAAATTGACAAAACCCATAAATTACATAAAAATGTATTTCCACAGCCTACAAGGTGCGTTTGAGTTTAGCGCTCTTGGCTAACACTGGTTCAATTCCTGGTGCAGTAAAACGCAGAGTCTAATTCTGTTTTCTTCCACAGTCCAAAAACATATAGGATGGTTCACACTAATTAGACCACAGGTGTGAATGTGAGTGTGAATTCTTGTTTGTCTACATGTGACCCTGTGATTGACAGGGACTCTGTCCAGTGAATGCCACGCCCTCACCATATGATTGCTGCGAATCTCAGCTGGAGCTGTAGAAGATTAAAGAATGAATTTACATTTTACATTCCTAAAATGTGAACCATGAACTATGATCCACCCACATTTTCATACATTTAATATGTTATGTGTCTATGTGTGTGTGTGTTCTATGTGTTTCCTTCCTGACTTTTCCTGGATGCTCTCAGACGTGGATCCCAGCAGAGTCTGCAAAGGGAAGGGAGTGGTGACCCTGAGGGCCACTCTGGTCCACATAGATGATGAAGACTCCGTCAGCGAGGAGTCCAGCATCATCACCAGGCAGAGTAAGTCAGAGTGAACAGCTGTTTGCTCCATCACTCCACATATGATGAAAATCCACTTAGAGGGCAGCAATAGTTGCACATCAGTGAGAAGAAGGGAGTCCGTGAGTCTGTAGAATGTAGAGCCGCTCTGCTGCTGCGTTACTGTCATTCGAAGAACATTTCATCATGTTCATCTGCTGTAAAAACAAATTCCCCTCGTGCCTCTGCTCGGTGACAGAATTACACAACACATCACGTTTTCGAACATATGCTCTGTCACCATCTTCAGAGCGATAAAGGCCAATTGCTCACATTTTCGGGGCCTGTGACAGAGGTCTTTTGTTGTGGCCAGCCCACACTGACCAGTGGAGCAGGGACTCTGACAGTGTGTGAGCTCTGTTGTTACTCAGTGGAACCAGTCTGGAGGCTGGCCAAGGCCTTTTTGGGAGATGCTTTAATTGTTGTAGAGCATGAATATAAAGGCCTTTAGAACAAATGGCCTTTGCAGCCTTCTGAATAGACACTTTGTTGCAACGACAAAGTTCAGAGATTGTGGGAGAATTTTTTTTCTTTTTTTTTCCTGGGAGATATTTGCAGCTATGTCCATGAAAACCACCAGGGAAAGCCTTCACAGCCAGTGGACTGGATTGGAGATTTATTTGATCAGCAATTAGCTGGTGTATGGTTTTTCTGGTCAACTGTTGAGAGTTTACTGTATTTTGCACGTTGTGGAGTGTTTTTTATTTTTGCTCTGCTGACTGCAGAAGTGACAGCCCTCTGGACTGTTTTTAGGTGGCTGGACGAAGCAGATTAATGGAGACGGCTCTAAAGCAGCACTGGCTGAGGGCTGCGGCAACAACACAGCTGATTTACCTCCTGTAAACAACACTCAGTGCCAGGTACCTTCTCTTCCAGCCCATTTCACACAGAAGCGTTTGGTTTGGATTGTTGTTGTTGTCATGTTACACGTCTGAGAACTATGTGATCTTTCTGCGGTCATTTGATGTCGGGTCAGTTCATTGGCTGAACTCTGTGTCATTTCCAGACAATTACTGAAGAAGGCTTAAAAGAAAACGGGGCTGTGTCCTGCGGTGACCTGCAGAACTGTATCACATCATCCCCCAGTTCTGCCTATCCCTGCACCAGCACAGTCAATCCCACCATAGTCCTACTGCAACACAACCGAGGTGAGACGGCAGTTTGTCAGTGATGATGGAATTAATGTCATGGATGTACTGCTTATGGCAGTATGGTGGCTGTGACAGAGGGGATGTGTGTAGAAATGTTAAAAAAAACAGCAGTTTAAAGCATAAAATAAATACTCATAAAGTTAAGTAACTTTTTTCTCTGTCTGTATAATAACAATCAGTCAGACTGTATGTGGGGCAACACTGGAAAAATGTTGTTGTATTTGGTCTTTGGTCATTTATGACCAGAAGCATCGGGTGTTACTTTTTAATGTCTTTTGCTAAACCTTCAGCAGTTTTTGCTTTGTCTTATTTTCAGTTTGATTTCTGTTTTCCTTTGCTTTTACTTCTTCCCAACATCTCTGTCTGTCTCGCTCAGGTCTGTTACTGTGTACTTCTTTGACTACCTTGAAGCTCATTTCTGGATATCGTCTAGCTGCTTGCATAATTCTTTGCCATATTTTACCTTTTGTTATCTATATTGGGGTTTTTATGTTTTCTTTAAATCTTGCTTTAATAACAGCGCACTAACCAGTGGCAGACTCTGATAAATTTATCAGTTATTTGTGCTACCTCGTACAATTTGAGTTATTTCTGCATGGACTTTAAAGATTTGTTTTGGCTAATTTCAGGCTAAGATTCTAAGCGCCTGCATTTAATTAAACTTTAACAAATTAAATAATGCTCTAGCCTCTAGTTTATTACAAATAAATGTTACTATATTTCTAATAAATTTATTAACATTTTTGCCACCTTTTTTTTATAACTGCAGTATTTGTCCTGGATTGCATAGAAACATATACATATATTGTATAATTTACATAACGCACTAATTTACAGGTACATGAGTTTTTATATATTTGCATAATCAAAACTATTGCATTTAAGAGGATAACACTCAGACACGGCAGTCTGAACTGCTGAACTACTGAACTACTGAACTGTCCACTGCACCATGTCTGCGACTCATCTGTCTGTTTCATTTTGTCTCGATGTTCATACACCTTCATGTCACCAAACCCTGTCCTGTCCTTGTCTGTCTCTTTCTCACAACAGAGCAGCAAAAGCATCTGTCTTATTTGAAAGGTATGCATTCTGTTCTAACTAATTAGAGACATATTCTATACACCTGCTATAAAACTGCACCCATCATCACCACACCTCACCTTTTTATCTGTTCATTTCATTATTATTTAGTGTCTTCAACTGACATTCAATCAGGAGGCATGTTTTTACATCCCTGAGACTTTTTTTTTTTTCAAAATACATTACACGTTTTTTTTCAAAATACATTTCACATAAAATCAGTAGAGCTAAAACATTTTACCACAGCAGAAATATTGGGCACAACTTTACATACAACAGTCTTACCCTGGGTCAGAACCCTCAAGCAGAACCTAAAATTGTGTCATCTTGTATAAAATGTGGTGTCAACATTTGTTGACGTTCACAGACCCAACTCCAGAAAGAGACAAAAGCCCTGACCCTGGCAGAGAATCAGTGAGTCCTCTTCCTGACATGGACGGACGGAGGCTGCGTCTGTCACTGCACTACCCTGTCTACAGTCCTGCAAACGCCCCCACCGCGCCTGTCAGGGTGAGCAACAAAACCTTAATGTCAAATAAAAGATATTACATCAAACTGTTGCTCTGTTCATACAGTATAGTACACAACAGGGAAGACCAGTTGGAAAACGTTAAGCTAATGTTGCTAATCTGCTTTTATACTTATTTCTAGCTCAGTATTTGGCTTCTGCTTAAATATTGCAGACATATTTAACCATTTTTGGCAACTTTTAAATCATATGTGACATCAAAGTGTTTCTGCCATTGCTTGGAGTCTTTTTGGTAAATACTTTGTTGTTTTTAAATCAAATTAGCATTTCTGGCAAACGTAAGGAAAAAAAGTAAATTGTGAAGATATTGCTGTGAACACTTTATTTACTTATTTTTAGCATTAGCTCTAGCTATTTAGATTTAACTTTTAATTTTAACTAACATTTAACCACATTTTTTCTCAGTGTTAGCTCTCTAATGAGCTTTACTTTATCTTTAAAACAAGTTAGGTTTAAAACTAAAGTAAACCAAACTAAGTAGTACAACTACTGTTACTGCAAATATAAATTTGACTAGCCTGTTGCCTTGCACAACATATATATATGATTTTATATATATATGTATGTATGTATGTATGTTATAAGGTCTATGATGTGATGATGGGTACAAAAACACTAGTATTTAAAATTGTAATATAACATCAGCTTGTGTTTTAAGCCGCTGACTACCATTGAACTAAACTTGTTGACGTTCTGCCTACAGAACACGGAGAAGTCCAAAGACTGGTACAAGACCATGTTCAAACAGATCCACAGAATCCCTGGTGTGTGAGCTCTTCATCTTTCTTGCTCTTTGCTCGTTTGATCATTTCTGTCATGTTGGTGTCCAAAGCCTGTGTATGTTCCACTTGTGTTTGTGTGTTATGTCACGTTGTGTTTCTCCATCACTGTGCTCAGAGCCTATTGAGGAAAACCCTTACCGCCCCACCTACATTTTCCCTGAGAACTATGACATTCACATGAAATCAAGAGGTATCCGATGAAAGCAACCACTCTCTCTCTCTAGAGTCACTAATATGCAGTCGCCCCAGACCCTTTCAAGTACTTCATTAACATACTACCAAAACCATATATACCACCACATGTAACACCTTGAGTATTTGAAAGGGTTTGATCTTCTTTTTTGTCTTTTCTCTCCACATTCTGGAGAATCTTATTAGTGCACTGCAAGTTTCATGATCGTCCTGATCTAACGTGTCTAATAGGATTGTACTCATATAGCACATTCCAAACAACAGGCACCACATGTTTTTTTAACATGCAATATAAAGTATAACTTTAAGTATAGCATCCGTTACACTAGTGCTATTACATTTCTTTAAAAGACAATAAATATATGAGCAAATATTTACTTGTGAACTATTTATGAAGTGTGAAATGCAAGTGAAAACAGTGATTATTGCCTTTAACTTATTGGACATTGGACATAAAGTTATACACTACAGTATATAGTTTGTAAATGTACTAATGGACTGATGGACACACTGTGACAAAGACATGTTAAAAAGGACTTTGCATGAAGCCTTGCAGTGTCATTACATTTATAGTAATTTCTCACAGCTTTATTTTGGCTTTTTTTTTTGTCCCCTTTAACCAACCAGTAGAATAAACTGAAGGCATTGTTTCGTAAATACATTGTTTGCTAATGGAAAAATTAAACAAGGATTCTATGAGAAACTATGAGAGAAGACATCAATAATAAATATGATAATGTCTCAATTATGAGGTAAAAATCATAAATATGAGCTAATGAAAATCTGTCTATATGGAGGCCTTATTTGATTTGCATTAAGAAAGGTTCTTTGCTGTGTGGGATTGCTGTGTTTTCTCAAACTTTCTAGTGTATTACTGATGACTTTGCTAGTTTCTATACAGCTGTCCACTCGTCTCGTCATGAGAATTCTGCAGTAACTGTGGTGTTTGCATTAGTTACCTCGACTGCTATAGATTTGATTGCTTGTTTAGCACTGTCCAGTGTTAGACTGTAGGCCAACCCCTTGAGTAGAACATGGGAATATATTACTTTATATTTATGATGTTACACCTCAAGATAAGAGCTATATCTGCTTAACTTCATGTCAATTCATTTTTAGAATATTTTAATCAAAGATGTGTTTTGGGTTTTTTTTGTTGCATAAATTGTTGTCACCACTAGATGATGCTGCAGTCCTACATTGCGGATAGGAGTTCTGTTCAGGTTGCAGGCTGCATTGAGTTTGTTGTTGATCTGAGATTTGTTGATTAGGGTGTGATGGTTTAGGTTTTTGGATCTGCTCAGTCCAGTGGTGTTGGACAGATTTGTGTGCACCAAGAGCTGCCAGACCACTTACTCTGGTTTATGGTCTTAACCCATCAAAAATAATCTCTGATGACTTCCATGTGTTCTTTCGCGTTGCAGTACAACTAATATGACTCTGCTATAAGTTATATAACTTCTACAGAGTTCCGTACTCTGTGGGGTGACTACAGTCTTTACAGGGCATTACTTATTCATGTCCTCCTCGCTGGTCGATGCTCGGATCCCTTTTTAGCTCAGTAATGCTTCCTGTAAACTGCTTTCACACACTTTGATTTCTTTTAATGGAAGGTGTGAAGCACACGCAGGAAATAAAAGGACGTAGAGCACTTTAAATAATTTAGTGTTGTGGTTTATTCATGACTTCTCACAGTGATTCATATTAAAGACTAAAATTATATTTTTCCATGGCTTCTCTCTAGATGATGGCCACACGCCTTTTAGTTATCTAGAAGATGGTGAGTTTAACTCTATGTCTTCATTAGCATAAAATAATGTTTATATATTGCTTTTTTCAAAATATTTATAGGGCCTGAATACTTCTAAATATGTGCATGTTTCCAGTCAGAACAGTTCCTCGCTCAAAGAGTGACGCTGAGGTTGTTTCAAGAGCCCGGACTCTGCCGGTGCCAACAAGGTCCTCATCTCTCAAGCCTTCATCCCAAAGGTCAGTCTCCTCCTCCATCTGCGCTCGTCCTCACTTTGATATTTGAACAAAGTGACAATGCAGTTTGTCTTTGACTGTAAGTAAAAGAGCTGTTTTTCTTGGTAACAAGTGAATGTCTGGGACAGTTTTACACTCATTGGCCACTTCAGCTGCTCTGTACTAGGCCCACAGTCACTCATAACTCTTCAGTGAAAGCAGGACATGTATGACAGCATTTCAAGGAGCACACCAACCTCACCGACCACGCGCACACACACATGTCATCACTGACATTGCATGATCTTCTTTTGTAAAAGTGAGTGATGGGGTGATGAAAGAGGACAGGTGATGGAGGATAAACTGTTTTCCACTAGAGCTGTGATGACACGTGCTGGACTGACCTTCTGAATCTGACGACCAGTGCTGCTGGACGTTGGATACGTGTGTGCATACATGTCTAAGTTGAGCCCATGAGCCTTATTTTGGTTAATTAAGAGAATAGACTGTATAAAAAAAATGGACAGAGCAATTACCAGCATTTAGTTAAGACTGGAGTAGATCTTTATTATAAAAACATTTATCACAAATATTATATGTTAAATAATGTCCAAGAGATGAATATAATCAGATGAAAATTCTTTCAAAAAGCTATTTTAATATAATTGACAGCAAGGTCATTGTTTTGTAGGAATAATACTGGTTGTGATGGAAATGGTGACCCTGATCCTGTGATTCCACATGTGATTTGTCATATAAGGTGATACTTATCACTCTGTGACTATAGTTACTGTTTGCAGGTTTTATGTGGTCAGTCCTGCCTTTATTTTTTGAGAGGGTTCTAGTGAGAGTGAGACTTCAAGTCCCCTCTCAAAGACTTCCATGCCGTCGTCTGTGTTTGTCTCTGTTAAAAAAGATTCTCAGAGGAAACATCGAGGTGCTCTGTTTTTTATCAGTGGGTCCAATCTCGTTAACCTGATCAAATTACTGCTTTGACTTGAGCCTGGGTTGGATTTTCCATCATATCATTATTAGAGGAAGGAGAGGCAGCAGCAGAGACAAAACAGGGATAATGGGGACAGATGTCATGTTAACGTAAAAAAAACTCCATTGGTTGCTATGGAGACTACTTGATGAGGATTGGTTCTCTCCCATCTCTCACCCCTCCCTTCTCTGCCCCCTGCATCTCCACAGGAATGAGTGGGAGCCCCCAGATAAGAAGGTAGACACCAGGAAGTACCGTGCCGAGCCCAAGAGCATCTTTGAGTACGAGCCGGGGAAATCATCAGTGCTGAAGCTGGAGAGAACGGTATGTGAGCTGCCTGTGTGTGTGTCTGCTTCTGTCTCTTCATTTTTCTATGTGCATGTCGTGTTGAGCCCTGCCCACTCCTCATACACACACACCACGCTCCAACTGCCTTGTGCACACACCTCTGTGTCTGAGCTGCTGGATGGAAGCTACATCAGCAGATGTATGTGTAGCCTGATTGGCCATGTGCGCTACATTCCTAAAGGGTGTCTTGTTTCAGCGACAGATGATCCTGTTTGGCTGCAGGGGGAGTATCAGTTACAGGGATAGCCATTGTCTTCCTGTTTTCAATTTAAGGTTATTGGGCTGAATCGTCTCACTGAGGAAAGGATCCCTGTGTAGACATAAAACGGGGATCCTGTGTTTTTTCCTGCTCTTTGTTAAGTCACGTGCTCAAGCAATAGTCATTGTCCTCAGTGACAAAACGTTACATTTACTAGAGATGTGGCGGGAGCCGACGTCACATACAATACACAGCAGTGTTTACCCAAACACAGCACATTGTCTTGCGATTTCATAAGTCTGACAGGTTTTGTGGTATTTCCCTCTTACATAATAGATGACAGTAAGGGCGGTTGAGTACTGTGTTGATTATGTAATTACTGTTCCTGGATACTCGTTGCATTAAGCTAGTAGATGTTGTTAACCATCTGCTCAGATCCCAGCAGCAACAAACACACTCAGAGTTCACATCGGTTCACATCCAGGCTCAGTTAAATAAAGGACTGTTGTTTTGCAATTAAAAGCTGGGTTACTGCAGGTCAGTGACGATGTTGCTGTCGTCACTTTCAAATGACCTGTAAAAAAAAGGAGTCCTATTTTTAGAATCTTTTACGCCAATTTCAAATCGAGTGCTTTAAATATAACATCTGTTATAATAATATAATAATACTAGAAACACTCAAATGTTCCCCTAATGGGTCCACAGAGGTACTGCAGTGGCGTCATGAATTCTTTTTAATTAGGCCAGCACTCACTTTCATTTCTCTATTATAGAAAATATAAATTTGTACCTCGTATTCATGATTATTATGGGATTGACTGACAGTGGTGTAGATCAATGCAACATGAGTTGAACAAAAAGTGTTGTTTTTGCATACAAAATAACATTATTTTTATTTATACATGGTAATAACTAGAACATGATTTATACACAATTTGATAAAGTTTTTGACTAATATTTTTGACTGGTGTCCCCGTCCTATCACTCCATCAGTGATCCTAGGTTTGAATAACTATTAAAAAAAAAACACTCCTCTAAATCCTTGGAATTTAAGTTTATTTTTATAGATATACTCATAACAAGAATGTAATATGTCTTGACTTAACTTGTCACTTGTAAAAGCAGAGTCAGTTCTCTGCTGTTATTGCAGCTGCAGGACCAAAACATTTACATTTCCCTTTAAAACTCTAGTAGCTTCAAGTTGAAATTTTGAAAAAATATTATCAAAAGGACCTCTATAGCTCCTTTCTACAGTTGCTGTAAATAATGTCCTTAACTTATTATTATTATTATGCATATTCATTTTCACATCCATGACTAACTTCACTGCTAAACTATCTTCTCCTCAGGCAGATATAAGAGCGATATATGCACGGGGCACATGCATGACACGCAGATATGCTCTTAGATACACTCAGAGCAGAAGGAGGCATGCTGTATTCTACATTTTAGCTAAACAGACAGAAATGAACAGCTTGAAATGATATACTGGTCTTGTCATATATTAACATGTATGACTGGTCATTAATATTAATCTGAAAACCATAAACAGGCTTCAGTCTATTTGTGCATCCTCATGGGGAACACAGTCAGGTTAATGCTGGCTGGATGGCCACAGTATAATTACCCACACACGTGCAGTGTCAAATAGAAGTTCATCATCAGTTCATTTCATTGGGTGTGTGATTTCTGTGCTGTCTGAACTGTCTTCTCTTTGTCTCTCTCCTCCTCTTCTCGTTGCCATGCCCTCTGTAGAATCAGGATGTAAGTCCAGAAGATATAGATTTAGAGAATGAGCCTTGGTATAAATTCTTTTCAGAGATGGAGTTTGACAAAGCGGTAAGTGGTCACAGTTTTTAAAGTGACAGTATTTACTTTATATTTTGTATTTGCATGTTATAACATTCATGTTCCAATAATATGTAAACAAGCTGTCTGTCTATAAGAGCGTCCACTGTCTCTGTGTGTACCTCTTAGGAACTGTCCTTCCCATTGATTTTGCACACAGACTTGAAAAGATAAAACATTTATTTATTCATTCTTTTATGTTTATTATTGTCTCTATTCTCTACCACGTGTCAAATGTGTCAGCATTAAGGATGTTGTTTTTCTTTACATCCTTTGATTTATTTTATCACATTTTCCTTTGCTGCCACATATCAACTGATCCAAACAGCAGAAAATATATATATTATAAAATCTCTTCAGATTATATTTTCATAGTTTTAAAACTAAAAGGCTATTTTGGCGAGATTAATCTGTTGATCTTGTCTCCATATGGAGGCACACATGTTACTCAGCTCAGAACCATCTGTGCAGATAATTGATATTTAATATGGCTGCTTATTGATCAGGATTCATTGAGCTGTAGCAGAACAGCACATGGTATTATACTGTAGCTTCAGATGAAGAGAAGTATATATGCACTTTATTGGTTAGAAATGTGAATTAAAGTGTAGCAGTTTTCTCTGGGTTACCTCAACAACACATTTCAGCTAGCTGGGAGTGTATGGCCACTCCCAGCTAGTCTTCATATCACGAGCTAAAGGTCTATATCCGGTGAAGTCAATCGTCACTAGGAGAGCCTTCAGTCCAGGCAAGTACTGGGCTCCATGATAATCTCAACCCCTTAAAATAATAATTGCAGCCTGTCTGCTATCTCGTCGATTTGCCAAAATATCTACAGTGGTTTGGTGCAGGCATGTTGAAGCCGTATACAATGTCACGTTAAATCCCTGCCCACGATCTTAGATGGCACCAGACGACTGGAGCACTGACTACCCACAAACAGATGTTTGTTCCCTGCACTCTGTCAGCCAGGGTCACATCCACACACCCTGGATCATGTGAGGTGGCTCCGCTGACTACAACATGAGGTCATGTATTAGCGGTATCCAGCCACAACGGCAGAGTCTCCTGTTGCAGGTCAGCATATATGTGTTGGAGGTTTAGCTGCGGAGGCCGTCCAGTCTGTATCATGCTAGCCTGGATGTTTGCCAGAGGAGCTGAGCTTGACGACTGGCTACTGGTTAATGTCAAAGTCACTTCCAAAGCTGCATCTGGTATGTGCAGTATTTGACCTTAAGGCTCAGTCAGACACACTGACTCATTGAAGTGTGATTGACATACGTATCAGGGCTCACTTTTCATTACTGCAAGTAAGACACGGCTGAAAGTCATAAACTACTGCATTCAGGAGTTACAGCGAAATCTGGAACTGGCTCCTGTCGAGTTAGCTCTTGTTTGTATAAATAACTTAAGGAATGTTTTAGGAGGAACATTTTAGTGTTTGGAACATTCAGTTTAGATCTGAGACAGTGTCATCTTATGGTTTCCCACAGCTTAGTGGCTAGTTGTTAAACACACATCTTAACATCAGGAGTACTGGAAGTAGCCCACTGAAACTGAACAACATTTTTGAATATTTTTCTTTCTTTATCAGCTACTGCTAAGTTTTCATTCCTCCTTCAAGAGGAATCTTTACAACCCCTCAAGAGCCTTCAGCTAACCCAAACACCATAGGCTGTGAATGGTACTAAAAGCAGCTCCATATGTTTGTGAGCGTGCAGTCACACCAACTGTGTCCAGTCCTGATTCAAACCCTGTAGTCATTATCCTTTTGGTGTGGTTTGTTTTAGTCAGTGTGAACTTTGACCTCAAAGTCTAGTTCAGACCACACAACCACTCTTGTGGATCCAGTGTCTTTTGATGTACCAGTACTCTTTTTTTTACCACAGTGGTGAGAACTTTATCAGAGTCTGAAGTATTCTCTGATACATGAACCACTTGGCAGTTTGTCTAAGTCCCCTAAATTGAAAGATGAATAAATAAACCAATTACCTTATAACTGCTGTATTATAAATGAATGACTTTAGGGCCTCATGACTTGGTTATATGGTGTTGACTTTGTCCCAGTGATGGTGTTCAGGCTGTTTCCCACCCTTCTTCTACTACTGCTGTGATTGGCTTCTTCTCCCTCTTTGATCCCGAAAAGCATCAAGCAGTAGAAGATGAAGATGAATGGGACTTCACAGTACTCCGTAATTAAAATTCTCTGCTGCTTATTAAGTGGAACATCCTGTGCCATCCAACATGAACGCATTGATCAACAATTTTAAAGACTTCAATCATTTCATGACTTTCATGGCACACTTTTAGGTTTTGCCTTGTTGGACATAAACCAAACAAATCAAAAGTACAACAATTTCTTTTAAACCCTGGTGAGTCAGGAACTAGAACTATTGGCATTAACACAGCATGAGGAGCGGAGAAAATAATGATAATAATAATATTTTTTTCTTTATAGTTAACGTGACATCTTCCTAAGGCATATGCTAGTTCGTAAGAGAAGGTTTTCTATTAGTAATCTAGTAATTATATTTACTTGCAGATTTCTAAAACCAGCAATGTCTATTTCTGGGTCTTCCTTTCTACAACCATAGCCTGCAGTGAGGCCACCTACTGGTCATATACAATAGTGCGTGTGTTTGTGTGCGCACAATCACACGTAAAGCTTAATAGAAACCCATTTTTAGTCCCGTAGGAGTCTGAGAACATGTCCAGTGACAGTTACAGTCCATCACTCGCTCATCGATATACATGCACGATGAGTTAGAGCTGGAATTCCACACATAACTATGGTCAAGAAGAGACACAACCGCCAGAGTGACTCCATCTGTTGAGCATATGCTGACGAGAGCGGTGCTGCCACACTGTCTCATCACTGAGTTACATGGAGCCTTCCCCTCTACCACCTGACACAGTCTAAAGGAGGCAACTTCGTAAGCCTGCCAGCGCATTGTGCTTTCATATTTATCCTCTCTTATACACTTAACCCTTTACCTTTAAACATTTAGTGGAGATGAAGTGAGATACTGTGCATGGCTATAATGGGCCCTTTGCACCAGGCTAGCTGTTTGTTTTTATGTGAACACATCAACACAAATAAGGTGCTGGAAAGAATGGGAATCGTGTTACCATGACCTACTCATGATTGCTATTTTGAATATGAAAGCGGCACACAGGAGCCGGAGCCCTGAGCAGCTAAAGACACCTGTTAGGAAACACGCTCATGAAATTCTGCAGAAACCCAGTCATCAGTGTTCCACTGACTCACCAAGGCCTGTCTGTTCAGATCCAAATTCAGACATTTCCCACCATCACCACTTTAGGAGAGAAATGACATGTCCTGGGTGTGTGTTTATTGGCAACTCTGTTACATTTTAGCATCCCTCTTTATTTTGTTATCTCAAAAACTAAAGCTATGCAGTAATGTAGTGTTTAATGGTGTGATTTGGCAAAGTCTTCTGCTCAGTTCATGTGAAGGATTTCACATGAACTGATGCTCATCAGGCGTCTTGGAAAATACCCAGATTCAGATTTGACTTTGCTACTTCAGATTAGCCATCTATGGCAGTTTCCTGTTTACTTTCCACTCATGCTGTGACTGCGAATATCCGTCTGGGTCTAAGTATCTAGAGATTTGTCAAAAATCTTTAACTTCCTCTGCTGATGTCAGATTGAATGATCATACAAATGAGGCCAAAGGCCCAAGGAAGAGCTCAGGGTTATTGACACAGGAGTGTCCTCCAAGTCAACATGGAACATTTAGCTTTATAAATAGACCAGACTATGATGTTCTGTTCTTATGAAGCATTTATTCTGAAAGGTTATTAATGATAGTCCTGCCCCAGCAACAAAATGGAAAAGCATGTTGTGGTAAATGAGCTGTTGACAATGCTCCTTGTCTGGTCATTGGTGAGGGAAGTGCAGACTGGAGGGAGTGGGGAAGTGGATGTGGTATTAACCAGCGGGACGGGCTGACTGGGATGAGGATTGTGCAATCGTATTTGCAAACAACACTTGCGCTCTTATTCATAGCCCGTGTCAGGTCTGTTATTTTTACCTGCTGTGACGTCTGAAAGGAGGAAAGCAGCAGAAACAGCGAGCTAAATTTAGTCAACTCAAAACCATTCAAAACGTTGCCGTACCGACTGGCCACCCCTGTGTTTTGAACACTCTAGGTAAATGTGTTCTACTTAAGGTTGAGTTTGCAGAAACATACTCTCACTTATTACAGAACATGCAGCCCCTCTACTTCCTCTGCTGGTTGGTGATGGGAGGGGGCATAAACACAGTTTTATGGTATGTTTAAAAAAATGTAATCTAAGCCACATTTAATAGATTTTGTTTTTTGGACACACTTAGACTTAAGCTCTTAAGCTTCTAGAGCATTTGTGCGGAGTGGGAGTGAGGGCAGAGTGACCATATTTATATCAGTGCTTTAGCTTTGACTATAACTGTGCCTAAGTTATTTTTAAGATTCAAGACATACAAGAAAATCAAAGGCTTGGAAAAAAGGTAATCTTTTTGAAGGTAAAGAACAAATTTATTTAAACACAATGAACAGCAAAGGCTTTTAGCATAGGAGGATGCTATCTTAAAGTGGCACTGACTAACGTTTTAGCAGGAACATGGAAAGAAAAAAATAGCTACAGGGGCAGGTGGAATGACCATTTTATTAGTTCACACTAAACACATGCTCTGGCCACAATACTGATTTAACAACAGCTTGTCTGGTTTGCGTTATAACATGGCTCCTGAATAGGTCTTCTTTATACTTATACAGTAATCATCTTTAGCTACTGCAAACAAAGGCAAAAATACAAGTAAATGGCAGTGTTGCTGCAAATATATTATTATAAACCCAAATAAACGAATAAAATCAACTGAGGTAATTGTTTTTAAATACAGAATTCTATAATTCTGTATTTAAAATCAAAAAGTGAATTCCTGCATATTATTTTTTTTAAGTTTTAAAGCATCTGTACTCACGTTCTGATAACAGTTGTTTTATTTACATTTTTCTTTTTTTCTTTTTCACTTCATGACTCATAACTGTACTTGTCATTTACTGAAAGTTTACTCTGTCTTTTACTAATGTGTGTGTGTCTGTCTGTCTGTGTGTATGTGTGTGTAATTCGGCCTGCTTGTACCACCAGCTGGTTAATTGTTCGCGGGTTCGGTCCACTGGTAATGAGAGTGACTCAATGCCAGACAGAAGCAACAGCTCATTGGCTGAGTCAGTGACAGCCCCCCTCCCTGCATGGGCGCCCCCTGACCAATGCACGCCCACACAACCCCACTCACCCACGCTCCCTCCCTCCCTCCCTCCCAACTCTCCTCACTGCCGCTTGTTTTCTCCAGCCTGCATGCAGGGCAAAACACACGCTTACTCCTTCCACGCCAAGCCTAGTCCAAAGGAGCTAAGAACCCTCGGCCACTGAAGACAGAGAGCCGGAGCAGCGAGAGATCGACACAGAGGAAAAACAGAGAGAATCTGACCAAAGCTAATGGTCCTGCCTCTGTTCTAGCTGGAGGAGACCTTCCTGTGGATTTATCAATGACTTCTTTGTTTGGTTTGTTGCAGAGTACCCCCTCTTTCACTCCCCTGGACTCAACCTCCAACCTGCAGCAGTAGTAAGTCCATGCTTCTTCTTAAATGTCTACTTGGTTTAACTTTTGCTTCCTTTCTTTTAGAATGTAGATGATAATTTTGGGTTTGTTGTGAGAATAAACATCAGTGAGCAGATGTCTCCACTCTACACAGCTCTCCCGCCTACAGCAGGAGGACTCCTGCTTCCTGAGGAGATCCTGTTAATAAGGCAAAAAGCTACCAGAACAGTGTGTCCTGTGTTGGCGCCTCTAGGGGGGTCAGTGGTTGTAGTACAGACACACTGCTGCTATGTGGTGATTTATTTAAAGACAGCAACCTGGATGTCACTGGGATAGAGGGAAGTCACCCAGCTGCTGCATAACTCAAAAACCGTTATCTCTTTCTGAATGGGTGTGTGTGTGTGTGTGTGTGTGT